GAGAAAACTTATCATAGCTAGGGATAACCGTTAAGATATGTAAGAACATTTATTACGTTATCTTTTTTAGATGTTAGGATATCAATCACTTCCATTTTATAATTCTCCGTTCATTGGTTTTAAGTCAGGATATATGTCATTAAACTTTCTAAATCTTCTTAATATAATTAGACTACATTTTCCTTGAGAAATAACAAAAATTCTGCCGGTGTAATCACACATTTTGAGCAGCGCAGTCTATCAGATTGAGCTTGAACTATTAAATGATACTTTCGTAAAGTGTATCGTATTATAGTATATCGTAGGTATAGTTCAGATAAAATAGACCCAGGAGAAATAAGATCCAGATCTAGATGTACTACAAGTGGTCTTCAAAAACATCAGCATTCATTTTGTCAAAATGCTCTCTTTGGACCATTGGCAAACATTCATAGGTAGAAGAGTAGAATATGGAATACAGCTAAAACTACTAATTTATATAGTTTAATAATAATCTATAACCCCCTAGCATTAAGCAACAAAGCATGGATCCAAACTTTCAGCTCCCTACAAATTTAAATATGGCTGTAGTGGATATTTGATTGGAGCTAACCTGATATCTATCGTGAATAACGGAACCCATCAGAATAGCTACAGATCTATTGTGTGAGATGTGTCTTCAAATTACTTTGAATATCCATCTAGGTTTGGGGAGCAACATCAGAAATGTGTTGAGAAATATAAAACATCGTCACCAAAAAAAACACTGAAAATATCATTGATCCGTTCATGGACACACAAGTGAAAACCCTTTTTTAAAAATTAAAAATGACTTTTTGTCGTTCGTTGATGATTTATAAAATGTCTGAATACGTCATTGAGTGAATCTATTTTTGTTAATGATCGTAGAAGTGAATAGCAGAAACTGCTTCAGATGATCGTTAATTGAAAACTCACTCCGCTTGTCACCAAAAGAAATTCGTGACCAAAGTGTCATTTATAAGGTGTCTTAGTAAGGGCAACGAGGTACGAAGCGTAATTGTTATTTTGAATTTTAAAACTCGATTTGTGCAAACACATGCGTTTAACCATTATTTTAAGCCTGAATATAACTCTAACCTTTTGTGCTTAAGTGGGGATATTTGAACAGTTTCTTTAAAAAAAAAATTAAATACTAATATTAATAATACACTTTATTCAGATAATTTCGACAAGAAAAGGCAAGAATGCAGCGCCCAGACGTATGTGCTTGCTGATTTCTTAAGTAATTCATGAAAAACGACTTTTCCTAAGCTCTCAATGGTTCTACGCGCGACACGATTATGATTTTTTTTTCTTGCCACCAGTTGGCGTTTTCTGATATAACTTAAAAAATGTAAATTCCTGAAAAATACTAAATGTATAAGAATTCGAACAGATCGTCAAATAAGAGCCCAACAACCGCATCCCTGTATGTTTATCCTAACCAAAAATATGAATAAAAGAACATTGCTAAAAAATAGATTTGCCATATTATCTCGAATTTAACGATACTTTATGATATGTAAAATCAAAATGAAATATTATAACTTATCTTTATTGCTCATTTTACAATATCCCGTTGGTGTCATGTTAATTTGCGACATGCTTAGTTGTTTTCAAATTTTTAATTTTAATTACTAACTCAGTCACTAATCAATTGTTGGCGCTACTACTTTTATTCACTGTTAACATATTTAAGTAGTAAAATGTCGAAAAACATTTAAAACATGAATTAAACTTGTCTTTTAACAGAAAATGAACACAAATTTTGTTTTTATCTGCCCAGCGCATCTTTCATATCGTTAATTGATAGTTGCCAAAGTTTCTTGATTGCCTACCGTTTTAATTATTTTAACTTTGTTAAATATTTATTGAATTTAAAATGTCTTATTTAAAGTCATTGTAATCCAGTCCGTAAGAGATATCGACCTGTTAATAAAATCTTGATTATAATTGGTTACTCAGTTAGTCTTCAACAATTGATAAGTTTTGGTTAGTTGACTAAATCTATGATAATAGTAATAATATTGAATATATTGCAAGAAAAGCAACAATCAATCCTGATAGCACAAAATATTAACTAAATCTTGTGTAAATATTTATATCTTTGCTAAATATTTGTTAGCAAAAAACAATATTTAATAAATATTTAACTTAAAATATTGACTATTATATATTCTATAAATATTTCATAAATATTAAATCTTTTCGCCAATTTATTTGCTAATAAAAAAAATGTATCAAATATTTGTGAAAATATATTTAACCTCAAATATTTTATAGATATTATATAAATGTGTATTATTTTCTCTGACTTCTTCCCAAAAACATTCTCTCTCAGCATTAGATACTGAAAGTTTCTCAATTTTACTTCATTCGCATATTCTTAATTGAATTAATTTGTGGAGCTGCTATAATTTAATTTCCTCTACGTATAGACAAAATCCAACTTTGGTTGGTTGGGATAAAAATATTGACATTCGGTTTTCACTGGGTTGTTGGGCCCTTATTTGACTATTTTTATTTATACTATATTTTTCTGAAAATCATTTTTCGCTATCACGTCACTAATAGCCACCTGGTGGAAATTTTTGAAACTTAACAGTTTAAATAAATAATATAGCGTCAAATAAATTTGTCCAATTTAAAATGCGCCCTCTACTATCAAGCAGCGAATTTACTAAACAGTCGGCTCGTAGTTGACTATGAGAAAAGTAATTACTATAGTCTATATTTAAAGGAAGAGAGCATTAAATTATTGAAAACGGCGCCATAGGCGTACAAGCTAATTAGAAATTGTTTATTATAAGGGAGTAAATAAATTCAATTAATATTTAGAACTGGTCCATTATCTGTAAATGAAAAAACAAAAGCACTTACTGCAGAGGTGTTTGGTGTTGGAAAATCAACAATTCTAAATGAAGAGAAACCTGGAAACTAACCAACATTTCAGCTCGACGCTTCTTTGAAAACAAGATTCGTTTCTAATACAGAACTACCGACACTAGATAGCAGGTTAAATTAGTTTGTAAATTTGGGAAAAATAACAGAAGATGGATTTTACTAAACGGGACTACATGCGGAGTATAAAAGAAGCCAGCGGGGCATCCAAACACATTTTATTTAGATGAGACATGTATTAATAATAATAACAATACAAGCTTTGGTAAGAAGAAACTGTTAAAAGTCAAAATTAAGCTTTATGAATGAATGAATGTTATAATAATCTTACCATATCTACCAAATTCTTACCCCCTACCTACATACGCATGATGTTGAGTCGGTTTATGTTGAAAGCAATATCAACACAGTAGCGAATTAGCGGTCAACAAATAGCGTGAAGTAGTGTGAAACAGGTTAAATTGTAGTTGTTTAATGGAAAATTTACTAATGCATAATAATGAGATTGATCTCTGTTATAGTCAACCAAAACTAATCCCAAGGCTAATCCAGTTAAAATCCACAAATACGTTTAACGTTTTTGTTTTTCTTCAAAGGTTAGATAGTTAGTCACGAGTTTGTTAATAAACCATTGTTTGAAGAAGTTTATTAACATCTGGCGCACCATACATTTCCTACTTAAGAAAATTGTAAAACACAGAGGGTGGTCCATTTATTATATATAAGAGCATAGAAGAATTGGAAGCTTAACTAAAAAGTAGCACATTAATCAACAGTTTGCGTGAATCTCACTTGCATTTTTCACCTACCCTTAACCGAACTATACCTACTAGTAAATACAGGATGTTCAATTATTTTGAAATATACAGGGCAATTCATAAATATGTGGGAAACTAAAATGTATATTATTGAATTAGTAAACACTCCCTTTGATACTCAATCGCCCAATGTAGCGTTGTTACCGAGTGTTTTCGGATTTATGGGCATTTTTGACGAACACGATATTTTTGACGGCATTTTCGACAGCTGTCATTTTATTATGCCAACAATTTTATAAAGTAGTACTAGTCATTTATCCAATACTTGTCTTGAGGTTAGTTTGAATACTTTATACAAGGTGATTTTTTTGGTCCATTTTAACAAGAAAACTTCATGTGCACATATGCTGCCATATTAACGATATTGTTATCACCATGCAGAGAAGAGGTTTTCATTTTTTAAGCGAATTGATTGACAAAAATCAAAAAAATATTTTTTTTAGAAATGGTTGGAAATTGTGAGAATAATTTTTATTTAAAAAAAATGTATTAAAAAAAAGTAGTACACTAAATAAATAATAAATAAATGTCATTGAAGTATCGAAAGTGGTATTACAGATATTAAGCAAATATATTTTGAAAACTTCACAACCCTGTATCTCAAAAGTTATGACGTTAAGCATAGGTTCATATGAAGTTTTCTTTTTAAAATAGACCCAAAAATTATTATTTCAATTTATTACATTTCTATCAATTACTTTCAATTCTATTCCCTATCAATAAACTTTTACAAAAAATTACTTTTCGAACCTTGCAAAAATATCACAAGAGATCGAGAACAAAATAACTATTACCTGAACGTGAAAAGTCTACAGAGACGAATTAAGTTTAATTGTTAACTGCTCAACTTTGGAAAAAAAAATTAAACGGCATTTTACGCTAGAAATAATATTTGAAATTATAATATTGCTAATAGTTCCTGAAAAAAAAACACTTAAAAACTAAAAACAAAACTGCAATAAAGAACTGTTTAATTAAGTTTTATTGTATTTATTGCTCGAAATGACTTTGAAATTAATTAATAAATAATTAAGTTTTGTATTTAAGATTTTTCTCAACACACTATTTGGACATCCTGTATATTTGAACTAGTTTTATCCAAATATGTAAATAGTTATAATTATTTAATGTTTTGAACGGTACTGATTTCGGCATCAATATCAAATGCGCACGGCTGACGTTCAGATTGTTTGTGTCATCAATTATGAATTCACCCGATGTCGTGTTCGAAATCTTTAAACAATACGATCGATGCGGTTTTCAGCGTTACCACTTACAGTGTCAACCGCATCGCAATTTTAGATTTTACATTCGGTTTTACAACACGTTTGGTTCCAAGAAATGTTTGCCGTTTAAGTCGGGGAATAGATAATTTTTGTAATCAGAAGTAAAATAATCAACACTAGCTAATGTAATTCAATGAACACATTTGCCGAGGTGTACAATGAAAAGCGAGTGGCATTGAGAATCCATGGACTCGCGCGGAGCTTGATGGTTACCCAGGTGATACGTTTATTAACGTTCAGTGTTAAGTAATTTTTGTCATGACAACTTTTCATATGTTTCATAGTCTCTTTGGCTTTTGCTTTCACATAAAAACAGACCATGTCTCCCTTGGATATTAAACACAGGTCGAGAAAAATGCCCATGCATCTCTTGTCACTTTGGAAAAAATTGTGTCTGTGCGTTCTCTGTTCCAGGGTTTTTCGACGATAACCTTCGAACGGTTTGAGCGACAAGCTTCAAATTTTTTTGATAGATTAAAACAAGATTGCTTTCGAAAAATCGTAGCTGGGAGGGGCAAGTTCGTCGCAAGTAGGCGCTTCGCGGTTTCTTATCCTAGAGGGACACATTGTTTTTCTATCGTGCTCCTGCGGACCAATATGGAAGTTTCGCAAAATTGATGTAATTATATTGTGCATACACCCTATATAAAGCGTCTTTCACGTATCGCCGAAATTGTACAAGTAATAACGATTTGTCAATGATATTTTTGCAAGTATCTCGTGCACCCTGTATGATAGACGAAACCTGAAACTCTCTCAATACAGTTTATGACACTGTTTATACCAAATTATATTTTGTTGTTTTATAGTTTTTTATTTACGGCTAATAATTTATCCACGAAAACGGCAATTTTCAGGGTCTTTTAGATATTTCTACCCAAAATCGACACACCTTGTACATAATTGAAAAAATAATAATAATTGAAGAAATGGAGGTTATGCTTTTTGAGCAAATAAGTTAAACCATGTGAAACCATGCAGTGCGCCGTAATAATCAATGACGTCATCGCGTCTTGACTGAACCCGAGTACTACTGATTTTCATATGGATTTATTTCAAATAGAATAAAATCTAAGCGGCGTGTGTGCCAGATGAAAACCGCAAATTCAAAAATTGTAGCTCTTGATGCGACCTGTGACACTGTTTGAACCAATTAGCCATATTTTCTACGACTTTTGATTCGCCGTAAAGAATTTACTCTAAGAAAAGAACAATTTTCTGGGACTTTTAGATTTTTGTTGATTTAATCGATTTTCGAAAGTAACTGGATTGAAAATGGAAAATTGAAATGATTGAAAATGGGGGGGACTGGGGGGTCGCGAAGTATTCTAAAAAAAAAAAAATCGCGTGTGCAAAGGTCTACAAAAAAACAAGGCCAAAAAAATTCTTTAACAAGAAGACTCCATAAACTTTTATTTTTGACAATTTTTCAAAAATATACAGGGTGCGCTGCAAATTCAAAAAAACTGAAAAATGGGTCCCCCAATTATTGAAAATTGATTATAACTGAAAAACTATGATTCAAATGTCACTTTCTTTTACAATGCATAGACAGCTAAAACTTTTCTATTTAAAGTTCTCACCTATTGTACAGGGTGTTCCCGATATTCGCTGCTAAATAAGAAATGTGTTAAGTGTCCCAAATTCGCAGATATCAACTTCAAATTTAGCAGAGAAGTAAAGGTCCGTGACCACATTTAAACAATAGGAATTGGGCGCAATCAAATTTTAGCAAGTATTTTTTAAAAACTTTTGATTTTTTTTTACAAATTTTGGATTCCAAAAAATATGTTTTTCTCCAATAATCGTTCACCCGATCGGCAAAATTCTATATCCAGCAGACGCGAAAGATCCAGTGCAATAATATTTAATTCAGACATTTTTTCGATTTTATACAGGGTTTTCAAGTTATAGTCAAAAATCTAAAATACCTAGAAAATTATTCTTTTACAGAGTAAATTATTAACGGAAAATCAAAAATCGTAAAAATATGGCTGATCGGTTCACACAGTGTCATAGACCGCATCAAGAGCTACAATTTTTGTAATCGTGGTTCTCGTGTATCACACACGCTGCTCGCGATATTTGAAAAAAGCCAAATGAAAATCACTAATTCGGGGGCTCAGTCAAAACGCAATGACGTCATTGATTATTACGGCGCACTGCATGGTTTCAGAAAAAAACTAATTTTCTCGAACCCTGTATTTTTTTGACATACAAAAAAAATTTTTTTCGACGCTGATTTATCTTTATTTTTATCGTAGAATTGAAAAATGAAACGACAACTATATACCCGGTCAATAATTTGATCCAAGCGCGTAAAAATATTTGCCCATTGATCATAGATAGATATTTCGGACGAACTAAAAATCTACTTACTCTCGATCGATTTTTAAAAATCTCGCCAAATCCTGTAAAACGTGACGGAATAAAAAAAAACGCGGTTTTATTGAAAAAGAACGAACCACCATCCGACCGCAGGAACGTGCTTCAACAGGTGCTCGAAAGCGCGTTTTTTCGTTTGTAGGCATTAATAGTTAGAAAAATAAGGTTATTATCCCCTAACATCCGCGAGTAAACACTGCTACCTGTTATATTCGAACGCAAAAGTTTTTCTCCTAACGAAAAGTTTATATGCACCGTCGTAATGTATTGTATTACACCAGTCCAAGCCCCTAAATTAATTAGTGTAACAGTGGTCAAAGTTTATGCCGCATTTGAGAACAACTTAGAAAACTTTGCGTTTCTTTTCCAACGAGATGTTTCCACAGTCTTTTTAACTAGAGCCTTTCGGAAGTTTTCCTTTTGATGCTGCACTTCGAAAATTCGGAAAGATCCCACTTTCCGGGAATATTTCAATAGCTTAAATTTAGAAAGCCGTAAAAGCGGTCACATATACGTCGGGTTATGACCGACCAACTATAGATTGTTGAAATGATGAATTTTGTATTCAATCTCAAGAGTATCATTTGTCTCAAATCGTATCATCTTGGCTTCCTACAGATCTCTTGCTGTGGATTTTCCCTACATTTATAATTTCGATATTTTTCTCCCTTCAAGGCAAGTCCCATGCAGCAGTTCTCTTAATGGTTGCTATAACTTCTGGCTTCTTATGCGTCTCAACACTTCCACATTGTTTACTGTCTCTATCTCGAGCTTCCTTTCCATAATATAACAAAATTCCACAAATAGAACATGAACATAACATCTCATGAATACGTAAATTACCCTAAAAAAGTACGTTATCATTAAAAATATCATTCTTATTCGCTCTTACAGTCTTCCAGATTGTCGATTGTTTATATATCCGAAATAATATTAAGAATTTTAGGAATAGGAACTTTTTAATTGTAAATGCTTATCTGGAACACGTTTTTCAAGTTTATGAACAAACGTTCACCAAACGCCATTATTATCACCGGTCATCGCGAATATGTTTATGAACGCTTTTGAGAAGAAATCCCCAATCTAAAAAAAAATAATAAAACGCTACGTTGATGATATTTTTGTTATTTGGCCTCAAGAACCTCTTCGAAATTTTCTTAGTCATCTGAACTCTATACACTCTAAAATACATTTTACCATTGAATTAGAAACCAACAATAATCTCACATTCTTAGATATTCTTACAAATAGAAAATCAGACCTAACATTGGATCATTGTTTACAGAAAATGCACACAGACCGGTACCTAAATCCATTGTTACATTAACAACCGCCCCAAAAATCATCGGTTATCAACTCTGTTATTTATAGAGTCGTAAAACTATTTTTTCTACTCCCGTAGAAAAAACCTAATTACCTATACCTAAAATACCTAATTACGCACCGATCTAGCGTGCGGGAAGCGTCGCTTTACCACGTCAGTTTCGTTTCCCACTTCGGACATTTCCGGGATTTTACCGCACGGGTTTGGGAGCAATCGGATGTTTTCGGAGATATTTGCCACGCTTTGAATTTTGACGTTTGTCAATTCTAACAGTCATGTCAGTGAATGTATTCGTGTTTTGCGAAAATGTACCCAAAAACTAACGGTCGTAGAAAAAGTATAATATGCAACACGTTCGGTAAACTTTTTGACTCACTCGTTTATTAAACACTCACTCCGCTCGTGTCAAATAAACTCGTGAGTCAAATGCCGTTTACCGCACTTATTGCATAATATACTATTTTGTATACATATACTATTTTGTATACAAAAAAATTATGCTGATCTGTAGACATAGTTCCTAGTATTCGTTTTTGTTTCATTGCTGATTAAATTACGAATAACTGGTGAAATTGCTTTATATAATCTTCTTATTATTCTAGAGTTTATTCAGGGTCCGAAGAAATAGAAAATTAGAACCTCTTATTTATTTATAAAAGCAAAATAAAATAAATTAAATCGCGACAATCGCTATCGTATATCGATCGATTGGTACTCTCGGGAAGCTGGAATATGTACTTATTAGCAAAGAGTATAAGATAGAGGGGAAGGCTCCCATCCTGAAAACGGAAAACGCGCGGGACGTACGGTTCAATTAAATTTAAAGTTTCAAAAAAAATTATGTCGAAATAGTTTTAAAAAAGTGCTGTTATCCGTTACCAAGTACTGTAGTACTTTCAGTGTGACGCATTACTTTAAACCGCCATGACAGTACTTTAGTAATTGGACAAAAATAATAGATGGCATTCCTAACAGTATACGCGACCTTCCCCTCTATCTTATACTCTTTGCTTATTAGAAGGATCTTACTAGAACAATACATATCACCTGAGGTTATAACAAACGCTTCTACTGATTCGAAAATACGCCGCAGTACCATTTCAGACAAAACCTATTTAATGCAGAATAAATATGTGTTGGGATGGGTTTTACCACTGTCCTGCGAAGGTCTGCGATGAAGGTACCGTAAAATACTTAAAACGTCAAAGCAATAAATGCACTATATTTTTGGTCTTATTGTACATCGCCGTCTTTCTGTCCATCGTTCCGTTTTTCTGTAGTACCCTTTTCATCGGTTACGCAACATTATGTAAATTGTTATGTAATTTTGTGGACACCGTTTGGGTTCGCCTTTAGTTCACCAAATAAATAAATAAAAACAATAAAAAAACGCAACCATCTCTAATATAATCTTAAATGTACTTTAAAATTGACCACTCTGTTTTAGTAACGACAATAATAAAGTATTTTTTTTGCGCCGGTCCTATAGAAAATTTCCGTGTAATATT